CTCCTCAGTATGACATAACTTAGGTGTCATATGCCTAGGTTTCCTAAAATTATAGTGAAAGAATAAGCCATTGGCAAGCAAAGAGGCCCTGAGATATGTTTATAGGATGGTAAATAAAATTGTTTTTTCTTTATTTTCTAGTTAATATATTTGAAATGAATTTGGTGGATCTTTGTTCTGATTCAATAAGGTTTTGTTCTGTACTCCAAGTCTACAATTGCATTTGGCACCAGTGATGGTGCATGGTATTGCAGCAATCAGTATTGTAATGTTTTAACAGTTAACTGTTGCCTTTATATTTTTGGGGTATTGCATTCCTTTTAAGCCAAGACACATGAAATTTAGTATTAAAGAGCTACACACACTAACAAACTAGTATCTAGTTTCTTAAAATGCTTTAGACAAGAGTTCTAGAAGTGAGAGGGGCTTGAAGTAGGTGATCATAGGCATCCACTTAATCAGAGTTCTTCTAGTTTTTTTAAAAAAATGTAGCCACTAACATGATTAATACCAATGTGTTCATTCCAGACCATGTATACCATTGCGGTTTGTTTGGGTATGTTCCTTTCAGTCAGAGGGACTGCAACCCTATTGTCTCTGCAGCATGGAACTATTACTGAAAGTGACTATATATATATATATATATATATATATATATATATATATATATATATATATACACACACACACACACACACACATAAAATGTTAATGTTAGTCACAGTTTTGGATGTGTGTCTGTAAAATAATGTGGTAGATTTTTAGAAAAATATATATTTAAAAATAGGGGGGAATGGCACTAATTCCCTCTAAATGACCCCAAGGGATGTGTTCTTTGAATAATGGATACAGGTTACTTCTCACACATAACTCCATAATACATTAAGGTTAATGATAGCATGCCTCTATCGAAGGACCCATCATTACCTCCAAAAGGAATATGTTACAAGTAACACTGTTTCTTGTAATGCACTACTTCCAAGATATACCTAAAGGGAAGTATAATGTTCCCTAAACCAATCTTTTGCTGGACATTTCCTCAGTCCCCTCTTTTAGTAGAGATTTTACAGAAAAGCTTTGTTGGGAGAGGCATGGAACACTTATGTTGCCTGAAGGATTTCTCTCCTCCCCATCCCACACTAGTTGCTTCCTTTATTTTAAAGAAAGAAGTGGTAACAGAGGGATGACTTGGTGAACAGGACTGTCCCTAAATTTGTCCATTTAATGCAAAAGAGATTCCCTGCTAAGTGGCTCTCTCAGGAATGCAAGGAGATTGAAAGGAACAGTAAAAGTGCAGCTGTGACTGAATGCTGTCCATGTGGTTGTTGCCAGCTGGTGGCCCTAGTGCACGCTACTTTCTGTCTGCCATGCAGCCATCTGCTGTGGCTTTAATGAATGAATTGTTCCCCTCTCCTTTCTGAAGAGAACAATGGCTTTGGAATGGTGATCTGCATTCCAATGGATTGACACACAGGCACACATACACATACACACATACACACATACACACACACACACACACACACACACACACACACACTTGCCTGGGTAGGATGATGGAGGGGGGTTAGGACTGATATTTTGAATCAACTTTTCCTTTAATGCTTCATTTTGTTATGAAATGGTCAACTATCTTTTTTGTTCTGTTTTTCATAAATAAAGAAGGTTGCCGGACCCCATCTCCTTGTAGCCTTTTGGGTAACTGTTTCTTGTTGCTGTTTTAAAATAAAATCTCCTCCACTGGTAAGCTATTTTTCTCCCCCACCACACTCCACCCCACCCACCTCCCCACTACTTTCCATCTCAAGATGAACACTGCCTTTACTCTTAGAAAAAGTGTGCAAAGCTCTTTAGGAAAGCTGTTCATGTCTATCAGAAACCACCCAACTGCTGCTTTAGTTTCTCTTGTTCTGTCCAATGTTTGCTTGTTCCATTGTCTACTGATAAAATCTTAACATTCTATCGATCAGTCTTCTGCAACCCATATTGCTGGGGACAATGAGAGCTATAGTCCAACACATGTGTTGAATTCTGGGTTGGCGAAGTCTGCTGAACAGGATTGTGGCATGCATATTTAAAATAAACAGTTCCAGAAAGTGTTATCTTATAGTGGGAGTTCAACTCATTTTGTCTCATTGTTGGTTGTCATCCCAGCAAAATGAATGACCAGGTAATCAGATATGCTTTAACAAAACAACAACAACAACAACAACAACAACAACAACAAAAAACCGCTGTAATAATGGTAGGATAATTCTTGTTGAAAGCCTGTATATAATAGTTAATGTGCATTTCTTTAGTCTCGTATTCTTGTATTCTCTGTGGACATGCAGTGTTTTGCTTTATTCTTGAGCTTTGTTCCATGTCATAATTAGGATGAAGTTGAGCTACGTGTATTTTAAAATTTCTTTAGGTTTAAATTAACTTCTTTTTTTACTTATGCACTAACTAATTAGCATTGATAGGCTTAAAAAAGAGCAAATGCCAAGTCTTTTAGTTTACTAGGTAGAGACCATGATAGTATGCTGATATACTGCATATTGGAGACTGGCTTAAGAGCCTCAAGTAACCTGCTCTGAGCTTCTCAAAGGAAGAACAGGATGAAAATGGAATGGATAGGTTCATTCTCCAAGAAGAAGTTCTTCAGTCATGAATCCCTAGAGCTGGGACTACTGTTTAGGTATTGAGGAGTAAGTAATGGGCCTGGTATGCCAGAACTCTGATGCTTAAATACTCCAGGACTATTTCAGCAACTTTAGCCATAAATATGTGGAAATTCTCACACTCTTGACATGGCCCTTAATCCTACTTTTAGTTCCAATCTGAGAAGACTTTGGAATCAATGGTTACTTGGACCCTATCTGCATGTGCAGAAAACTCCATCCTCATCCCAACACAAGCGTATCCTGATTGCATAACATATGACAACTTTGGGTGAAATACTGCAGGTCTTCCATGTTAACTCCACTTTTCCCTGGAGTTGGCAAAGCTGCAGGAAGATCCATTGTTTTCCAGAAACCATGAGGTTAGTGTGGGGTTTTGTGGCATGTGAACAGCAGATCAGGACTGAATTGGGCTGGCTCACTGTTAGCATGTCAGGCATACCCCTTAGGGTCATACCCCTTAGGGAAAGGTGATGCTTTGTTTTGGAGCCATGGCTGCAACCTCCAGACTTGCAGACCTCTGTGGACAGGATACTCAGTGTGCCACAGTTGCTTCTGAGGGTGGGATCACCTGTGTGACCAGTGAGAAGAAAGAGTAGAGGAATTCTCCTGATCACATGGCTGGGGCCTCCCCAATCAAATGGCTGGGGTCCCCCGAGGTGATTGGGGTACCCAGCTAGCCTGTGCAAACAATGTTGCATGCACTGCAGCAGATGCAGCTTGGTGCATACAACCACCATCATGGCCAATACAGGACCAATTCTGAAGCATAATGCTCCTGACTGGCACAGGACTTATGGCCATTGCAGACAAGGCTTTGGTAAGTCAGAAGTTACCTACATTCCATTGATTCAATGGGGTTATTCTAGCTGGGACCAACAACAATACAATTCAGGCCTGTATCTGTACTTTTGAAGATTGTATTTAAAGAAACTGAACACTGAGTTTTGACAATTTAATCAACAAGATTCTAGTCTACCAGTTCAGAGCAGCAGTTGCGTTGCATGGAGTGGATATCCAGTTGAAAATGAGCAGAAGTTATTGGGGCAAATGTGAATGAATCAGAGTTAACCTCTGAGTCATCCTAAAGGCTGTTTAAACTAAGGGCCTCGGCAGATGGCTTATTAAGCCATCCTCGAGGCAGGGAAGAGGAGGGGCAGCCGCACGCTCGGCACCCCTTCCTCCTCCCGAGGTTGCACTCAGAGCCACCGGCCCTCTGCACGGCTGCAGTGGATAAGTCCTGACACGCTGCAGTGGATAAGTCAGCGAAAGTGCGCCTCACACTTTTGAGGTGCACTTTCGCTGACTTGTGAAAGGAGCGCTATTTTAGCGCTCCTTTCAGAGACTGGGAAGGAGCGCCGCAGGATCGAGGCGTGGGGCTGCCTCAGTCCTGTGGTGCTCCTTCCCACGGCGGCCCAGAGCCGCCAGTCTGCTTCCCCCCTAAAGCTTGAGATTTCTGCCAATTTTAAGCCTATTTGTGCAACTGTTTAAAGAGACAGAAATTGCTGCAATGTGATCTTAAGTTATCATATCCTAAAGACCCCTGGAAAACAAGTACCATATTTCAAATGTAACTTGCAGTTTTATCTGTTAGAAATAGTTGATTCTCACAAGGTCAATGTCAATGTTCTAGTATAGCCACTGTGTACCTCCACAACCAATACCTCCAGATCATGTTGGTGGTTCCACTCAGCCTTTGCCATACATCCCTAACTGTGAAGGTTCATAGTGCTGAAAAACATGAGAAACATATTGAAAAACATACTGAAAAACATATTGGTTTTCAGAAAACTAGTGCAATTTGGTTCGTGCTGATCCTTAAAGTGGAAAACTAGCCTTTGAAACAAACTACAGGTTTCAGTGAAATTTTCAAATGGGGTAAGAAGATGAAATTTTATAGTTCTTTAGTTCCTGAGAGATGTGGACTTGCTTTGTATACACAATATTTGCAATAGCAATAAAGAAAATAGATGCTATGTGGAAGACAAGGCATAAGACGTTATTGTAGCCATGTGGTAGAAGACTGCTTCTCAAGACTTTTCAAGATTCATGTGAGTTTAATTATTTTCTGGGTTAAGGTTGGTGGAAGGTACAGATGTCTTAGCTCCTAGGATATTAAATAGAGATATTTCTTCCAACTGCAGGATATTCCAGTTGGTATCATCTTGTACTGGAAGGAAGTTGTTCTTGTTGTTGTGTGCCTCCACATCATTTCTGACTTATGACAGAATCTATCATGATATTTTCTTGGCAAGATTTGTTCAGAGGGAGTTTGCTTTTGCCTTCTTCTGAGGCTGAGAGCGTGTGATTTGCCCAAGGTCATCCAGTGGGTTTACATGGCTGAGCAGGGATTCAAACCCTGGTCTTCAGAGTTGTAGTCCAATGTTCGAACCACTATTCTACCCTCACTCTCTGCTGGAAGAAAGGCATGACATAAATTAAGTAAATCGGTAACATCTTTGATGTCCTGTCCTTGCCCTTCAGTCAGTGTTGTGAGATGAGAAAGCTGCATAATGGAGATACTGGATTAATCTGACATCTAGACCCTCAACCTTTACCAGGGAATCTGCACACTGGCTCAGAGAGGGTTGGAGGAATCATCCATTTTATCAGTCTCTGCTAGATGTTGGTTCATTCAAGATGGCGAGTTTTAGAGCAGTGCTATACAGATCTATGCAGAGTAAGAAGCAAGTCCTGTTAAATTCAAAGGACTGTAATCTTTGATTTTTCAAGATATACTTCAGCCCCCTTGTTGATTGGTTACCTGGGAATTAGAATTGCAGTGCAGGCTATGGACCAGGCTGGGACTGTAAGCACAAAGCAAATAATTTAATACAAGACAAGAAGCAGCTGCTCAAAACCAAAAGAAATGGTCTGACCTGATAATGGCCTTGGTGAAACATAAGATGATTGTGAAAATCTCTTCTAGATTTGAATTTATACCATTTTACTAAACCCTTTATCAAAGTGGCTTTGGGGTTATTAAAACTGAGAATGAAGGGTTTGAAACCAGGTTCTTGTCTTGTTAACATCATTACACCATTCTATTTTTCTAATTGTTTCATTCAATTAAAGGACCATATTTTATCCTATAGTTCATTCTTCTTCACAAATGAGATATTAGAGTCTGAGCAGCACAGTTCCAGCATGGGTCAATGCAAGCCCCTTCCTCCAAGTCTTTCTTTTTTTCCACCCAGTGCCTGGAATGAGGCACTGCATTTCAACAGGATGCTCCTTAGCTGTGTCCATGAATGGGTATGGATTTCCCATGAGAAGAGTTGTGCTGATCTTTCTGCCTGCTTCAATGGAGAAAAACTCACAGGGATGAGTTTGGGGCAGTGCCCTACCTTTGTTTTCTTTGATGTGCTGCTCAGTTGCATTGTGAAGGGAAGTATCCCAGCTCCTTCCCTTTGTGAGATGTATGTTGTGATTAAATCCTCAGAGTGCCCCTTTCCTAGGCAACCAGGGAACAGAGCCTGGAATCTGGTCACTTCATTGATAAAACTGGAGGATGAAAGCATGGCTAGCCCTTTGTGCTTGCTTTTAATGGGTATGGCCAATCTCTGGCTGCCTGAGTCAGCTAATTGCAGAGCTTGGAAAGTTACTTTTTGGGTGATAATTCCCAGAATCCCCTAACCCCTGTGATCACTGGCATTTCAACCTCTACATATTGAGTACCTTTCAAAGGCTTGCCTTCAGAGGCTACTAAGAGTCTTTTCAACTCAGATCTGTTTTAGGACTCAAATTTGCAGTTCATTTATGACAAATGTGACTTGTTGGAATATAGCCTCCTGTTTCAGATGCAGTATGCTTTTGCATATAACACCTTGCAGGTTCTTTTGAACTGGCACAATCTGCTTTTGAATTCCAACTTTGCTCAGTTGCATTGATATCTGAAGCTGTCTTTTCCCTTTGGTTTACTTAGTTTAGGCTGAGATGTAGGCATCACTTTGCTTTTCTCAATGCCAAAAACAGAATCCTGAAAAGAACTCCCAAATGCGGTAAATTTGCACTTTAGATTTTCCTGAAGTGTTGACTTTGACCCCATTATGGTGGAAATTACCCTGGATTCATTTGCAGTGCCAGTTGATCCCTAAATGTATGACCTGCCAACACCTAGGCAGCCAGTTGGCAGAAGAACAGAAAGAAGATTGGTGCTTCTGTTTATGACTACCTTGAATAAGCCTCATTTTTTTATTTCTGCTTTTTAGAGCCTTCTAATTATCTCTTTGCTGCTAGCAATTATATGAAGCAGACAGCTGCTCAAAAAACACTTTTAAATGACAATGGTACATTTTATGGCTATGTTGGATACATTTTTGAAAATAAATGTCAGTTTTCCTGCTGGCCTTGACTGCTCTAATTACAATTACTTTCTTGTCAAATTCTGGTTACTTGTTTCTCTTTATTGCCTTAAACATTATCAAATACAGCCAAAGTTTAAAGAAAGTAACTGGCACCACCACATTCAAGCAGAACCAGGCTGATAGCTTGGACTAAACCTGGCAAAATGTGGCTACACAGTGCTACAAAATATGGAATATCATTAGTGGAAGTAAAAGAGCTTCTCAGGAACCATTTTGCCTTGAATGGTAAGGAGACAAAGCACAATGAGGTTGGCGAAGAGTCACAAAGTACAGGGATCTCTTACTATACTACTCATAAGGCCTTTTGAGGAAGTGTCTTGACCTGAGGAGAGAATTATTATTATTATTATTATTATTATTATTATTATTATTATTATTATTATTAAAAAACAGTCTGAAGAGACTGATCTGAACTGAACCATCTTCGTCTCATTTCAGAATACCTCTCTCATTTATGCTCCCTCATTGTAGATGTAGTGGTGGGCAATTGAGAAGAACAGTATTTAATTATCCTTGGCCATTTTCCCACTCATTTAAATTATTGCAAAGTCTATCCAATGTGCTGTAGAGGTTTGATCATTAGATTGTGACTCTGGAGATCAGGGTTCAATTCCCTGCTCATGCATAAAAACCCACTGGGTGACCTTGGGCAAGTCACACTCTCTCAGCCTCAGAGGATGGCAGTGTCAACCCCCCTTTGAAGAGACTTGCCTAGAAAACCTTATGATAGGTTCACCTTAGGGTCACCATAAATCAAAATTGACTTGGAGGCACACAACAACCACAACTAGCATCTCCAGAGATTTTCCAGCTCTGGTATTCACCAAGATGTACCACCAAACTCCTCACTCCATAACTTCTAAACAAAGATATTTCTTGCCTTATGTCATTACATTGCTTGGTTAAATGCCAAGATTGTTTAACTTGAAGCTTATCTTCTGTTTCAAAATATTCTTAGAGAATACTATGAACAACAGGATTTTTTGGGGGGAGGGGGATGTTGCCCAAATTATTAGCAGACATGGGATATAGAAAATTTTGAAATACTTTTACTTTGGGTATCTGTGTGAAAGTTCAGGAAAAATAGTGATCTTATTATTTATTAGCATTATTTATTATTATTTATTAGTTACATTTATATACAATTTTTTTCAGTGATTTCAAGGTGCCATACCTCCCTTTTTATTATCACAACAGTCCTGTGAGGTAGGTCAGGCTGAAAGGGAGTGAGGGTGCATCTACATTGTAGAAATAATGCAGTTTCATACCACATAAGTGCCGTAGCACCATCCTAGGGGATCCTGGGATTTCTAGCTGTCTTTGGCAAGGAAGGCTAAAAGCCTTGTAAAACTACAAATCTCAGGATTCCATAGGATGGAGCTACAGCACTTAAAGTGGTGTCAAACTGCATTACTTTTACAGTGTAGATGTACTCTCATTTGCTTAACGTCACTCTTGGCTCATTTCAAACTAGAGTAGAATTTTCATCAGATTGTAAAAATCTTTTGGGATGAGATTAGTCTCCAAAGTCCCAGCCCCACATGTTAACCACTACATCACACTGGCTTACATTGTCAAAATCCTCAGATACAGGAGCAGGGGTGAGGACTGGCAGGAGGAAGAAGAGGGGAGAGGCCTGAGTGAAGGGAATGGGAGCCACAAGGAAGGGACAGTTATGCTTTGGAAATGGCAAGAAACTTTTGCTATCCTTTTTATTTTGGTGAGAGCTCCTTTCAGAAACAAGAGCTTGCTTATGAAGAAGGAAATGGAGACAGGAAATGGTCAGTTCTGGAAATCGCTGGATCTCCTTGATCAATGAGGATCTCAGAATTCTTTTTTCTTTTTTAATTGTTTCAAACAACAAACTAATGTTTGCATCTTGGCTTGGGTATGAAAACCTGCTGGGTGACCTTGGGCAAGTTATACTTTCTCAGTTTCAGAAGGAGGCAAAGGCAAATCCCCTCTGGTCACCGTAACTAAGAGACGACTTGAAGGCATGTAACAGCCACAGAGTTTATTATTGTTTATTGCTTGTTGGATGAGCATAAAATGAAACAAAATAAATCTATTTCAAAAAAATCACCAAAGATGTTTAACTTTACCTGGTGGTCCCTTTATTTCTCTGTTTGCATTTACATATTGAATAAATGGATACCCTGTCACCCCAAAGTAGTAATCTGTCCTGTTACGAACTCAGAATACTTGCAGAGGAATAAGTACTGAATGAGAATACACTCATCCCTCCCTGTTTGCGGACCTGGAGTCCACTGTCTCAGTCGTTCATGGATTGCAAGTGGGGAGGGACAAAATGGTGCACACAGATGCGTGCTGCCATTGAGATAAATGGGGCTTGGATATTTGCAATTTTCCTGATTTGCGGGGTGGGTGGCCTCTGGAATGGATCCTGCACAAATCGGGAGGGATGGCTGTACTGTCATTTCCTTGCAACAAAGGCCAGAGGGGACAATATTGTGTATGTCAAACAGCATGAAAATCCATTCATTCAAAAACTGTACAAGAGCTCTCACTAATAATTCCTGTGAAACACACACCAGTGTTTGGTGCAGATGCTGTCTTCAGAGATAGGTTATCAGTTTGTATCTTTATCTTTAAGCTCTAGATTGTAAAAATATAGGCATGGTCTGTGTGGTTTCTAATTTCTATACAGCACCACTTCATTTTTAGCTGCTAGTCCAGCCCTCCACATTGGTGGCTTTGACTTTTGTGGAGTTGATTATTTGCAGATTTGATACATATGTTCTCTCTAGGAATCTGTAGGTCCTCCAGTGCTACTGTTCCAGAAGATGACCCCAGAGTTGCACTGGATGATCTAGATTGTAGATCCTCCAGCATAAATCTATGCTAAACATCTGGCAAATGTTGACAATACAGTTGCAGTGGGGGACCTGGAGATTCCTAGAGAGATGTTCTCTCAGGTTAAAAAAAAATCATGTTTTTTTTTATTTGCTGTTTTCCCTCTTTCACAGGTGTCCTATGCCCCTAACTCCAGCAATTGTGGAGGTCCCACTATAATATCTGTTT